GCTGAGAGAGCTCTGACAGAAACTGCTCCTTTTCAAGGACAGCTCTTATCAGAACTACGGCTTGCCCAAGGTCATCCAGCCAGGTGCAAGTGGAGGAGTGGGGAATCAAACCCGGCTCTCCCAGATTAGAGTCTGCACACTTAACCGCTACACCAAACTGGAAGAGGAAGAGGAGGAGGAGAAGAGGAGGAGGAGATTGGATTTATACCTCGCCCTTCATTACTTGAAGGAGTCTTCCTTTCCCTTCCCCTCCCTACAACAGAAACCCTGTGAGGTAGGTGGGGCTGAGAGAGCTCTTTCGAGAACTGTGACTGACCCAAGGTCACCCGGCTGGCTTCATGTGCGGGAGTGGGGAATCAAGCCCCACATCAGTCACACATCAGCACATACATGACCTTTAAACAAAAGAAAACAGCACAAGGCTCCCTTTCCCGTCACAGCACTGTGCCAGCAACTCAAAGTAATTTCTTCGAAAACGAATGTTCATTGAACAGAGACTGCATTTCCTCTCTCCAGCGTTATTTTTAAAGCATTTAAAGCTATGCACATGGAACAAAGCTGCTCTTCTCCATCATTACCTTTTCTGATTATCTAGCAACTGATACAAATTGGAATTAATTCATCACTATAACTGTTGGGGGGGGTGAATTGCTCTGAAAACTGCAGCCTTTCGTAGAGGACGTTATGCAAAAATGCACCACTAGATGGAAATAAAAATCCCCAAACAAGCATCTAAGTTTCAAAGAGAATGACTGGATCACATTCAACATTGATCACACATACGCATACACACACACACACACACACGTGGCCAATACCCAATCCGCTGTATAATCCATATCCCAGAAATAATTAGTGAATTCCTAAATGCAGGTTATATATAGGGTTACTAAGAGCATAACTATATAGATTGGGGAAAGAGGGTTTTTTTCCACCTCTGCAGATCAGCAATGTAAGAATTTCCCCACTCTTTAAGGTAAAATGGGAAGAAGCAGTTGATGTAATTAGGTTAGCGGCAGGCATATGTAATGTAAGAAGCTGAGCGGTACCGTACACCTTGATCTAACTATACATGTCGTATTTCCCATATTCAGTTTTCAGATGTGATCCTATGAATAAATTAATCTGGATTTTATTAAGTAAGCAAAAACACACACACCCAGGAGCTAAGTAATGGACTGTTCGCCCTCTTCCAGGTCACAGTTCAGATTTTAAAAATTTCAAATTATCAAGTAGACTATTTAGCTTACATTAAACACAGAAAACTTTTTTTAAAAAGAATTTTACAAAGCTCAGTTCCCATGCCTTATCAAAATGTTGTGAAAACTACTAATTTAGGGTCTCTCTCCTTTTCTACTAGCTTGAAACTATACATTATACCCTGCCTAGGACAGAAGTCATCAAAGAAAGGCTAACCCTCAGATTCCTTCTCTAAACATTCCAGAGAGCCAGATGTTGGTTGCAAGAAAACTGTCGAAAATCACGTATCAATTAGCTTCCACCTGCCCTGAGATAGAACTCTCTCTCTCTTTTCCCCTCTGGAGCACATGAATAATTTAAGAACGCTTCAGAGAGATTTCAAGAAGATCTGGGAGGGGAAAAAAACAACAGAAAGCTGGTTTATTTGCCGATTCTTCAAATGCAGAAAGGTTCAGGGATAAATTATTAATCTCCCTCCGTCTCTCGGTATGCTCAAGGGCCTGCCACATCAATATGATCCTGCGATCCACGGGAGAGGCTGGGGAAGAGGGAGTGGGCAGCTGTTAAGTTAAACAAATCAAAATGTGCCACGGTAAAGGTTGACTCTGAAGCTTGTTCAGCGAAGTCCAGCTCTTTTTTTCTTTCCCTCAGTCAAAATTCTACAGAAACTGGGACAGACAACACAATTTAAGGCAAAAGGGCAATGCAGTTTGAAATGTTTATGGCAGATCCGCTTTCTTCATAGTGCAGTTCAACATAAGAGTTCAACACAGTGCAGTTCAACATAAGAAGAACATGAGAGACGCCATGTTGGATCAGGCCAATGGCCGATCCAGTCCAAAACTCTTTCGTCACACAGTGGCCAAAACCCAGGTGCCATCAGGAGGCCCACCGGTGGGACCAGAAATATTGATGCAGAATCCCTCCCTCCCCTTTTCTTTCTCTAAATTATTCCGAGAGCTTGCATGGTGATGAAATTGTTCAATGGCATTAGATCTGACACCAGAAGACATTTAAATTTTTAACAATGTACTGGTTCATCTAGAACAGAGGTATAAAACTCATTTGTTACGAGGGCCGGATCTGATGTAAATGTCACTTTGTCGGGCTGGGCCATGTGTGTCATAAAATGTAATGCCAGATACCAGAGATATAAACTTTATAAAGGACACAGACAGTCCCAGTTAATGATATTTTTTTACTCCAAACATGCTTAAAACATTAGCGCTCTTCCAATATTTCC